CGGAAGGCCAAATAAAGTGCTTTTGCTTTCGCACTGAAGCACACAGCGTCTCCCTGACATGGCTGCATCAACACTACTGCTGTTCCTGAAACCACACCTTCTTTCTTTGCGTGCACATTTGGGCGGCATTATGCTAATATTTCCACATAGTGATGTAGGTATGTGGGGGCGTGTTAGAACGAGCCGTTTTAGGTAGGGGTGGTGGTAGGACTTTTTATTCTTTGCAGCTTTACAGATCTTCTTTATGCACCAAGAGCTTGTAACACTCCAAAGAGAATGGAAAAATTGAGATTGCGTCATATGACCCCTTTAATGTTGAACCAATTGAATATTGTATTATTGTTTATTATTATTATTAATGCTATTATTTAAAATAAAAATATAAAATGTATTATTGTTGTTATTATTATTACCAAATTCAGATTACGTTAAATTGACCAAAACTTGAAACAAGTGAAAGAAATCAGGTATGCTCAGATATGAATTTGTTCCTTTTCAGTCTATATATTTTTTAATTGATTTATTTGAATATTGTTTTTTTTTTGTTTTTTGTCAATTTTAATTTTATCACAATGCAAATTATAAGATGACTTTCAGTTTGTTTGAGGGGTTCAGTTCGTTTTTAAAAGTTTGTTTAGTGTGTTCATGTGTAATCCTGAAGTTACCATGATTTATTTATTTTTAACTTTATATTGTCTGATTTTAAAAATACTTTTGTAGGCCCTGAAATGACGTTACCATCATTTGTTTTTTAATACATATTTTATTGTCAGATTTTAAAAATACTTTTAAGTGATACTTGAGTGATGAATCTTATTAAAGAATTGGCACGTGGACTATAAGCAGTTCAGATTTTTTTCAAAAAAAGTTCAGATTTTAATAATTCCACCAAATACATTTGAATGAACTTTAGTTGTGTGATCATTTATATAAATTTCCCTTTTGACGATAAGTTTTTCAACTTATGGGAATATGGTCATGATTTAAAAACTATTTGAATACTTTGATATGAGGGAGCTTTTCAAATGTTTTGTTATTCTGAACATTTTGACCGATGTGCTCTTGTGCTGTGTCTCTCTGAACAGGATGACCACTGGGCTCTCCACGGCCCCCACAGAACCCCTCACTCACTGGTACCAGGTGCGCTGTCTGCTGCAGTCACCTCTCTTTGCCAAGGCAGGGGACACCATGTCAGGCACTGCACATTTAATCGCCAACAAGAGGTGAGGACACACAATGCTTTGTGTTTTAACCCTCAGGCTGTTTCGCTTTTTACTTCCCGTGGTCTCATTTGTTTCCACTTCCTCTCACAGACAAAGCTATGACATTAGTATTGTTGCTCAAGTAGACCAGACAGGCTCCAAGTCCAGTAATCTTCTTGACCTCAAGAACCCCTTCTTCCGGTGAGTGGACTCCTTGCTTTGGAAAGCAATAAGAAGATGCATGTGACATGCATTGCTGACGCTGTGCTGTGTTCTGCAGGTACACGGGCACAACACCGACCCCTCCTCCAGGTTCACACTATTCCTCCCCGTCAGAGAACATGTGGAACACTGGGGGAACCTACAGCATGAGCCAAGGCATGGCTGTGTCAGGTACAGCACCAGGAAGCCTCTTATAAAATCATTCCTGGCCTCTTGTTAGATGTATATCAGTTAGCTGAAGTGTGATACGTAACTGGAGTGATGCCACTAAAGTTTGGCTCTGTCTGTGTTTGTCAGGGATGCCTGCAGCCTACGATCTCAGCACTGTCATTGGTGGCAGTGGGACTACAGTGTCCCACAACAATATCATCCCCATTGGTACAGACACGCATGCACGTATGGATATTTACACACACACTCACAAATACACACATATGAGGAGTAAAATGAGCTCTGTGGTGTTTTTAAAGTGACCCAAAAATGAAAATGGTTTAATTGGTTCCTCTCCCTCATGTCTTTCCAAATCCACAAGACTTTAGTTCATCTTTAAAACACAAATGAAGATATATATATATATACACTGTATATATAATTATTTATCTTTTTTGTTCATCCATTGAAAGTTTACACAACAGTAAGGTATGAAAAGACATTAAGTAATACAAAAGCTCTAACCTCATTAGCTTACACATGTCAAGCAAGCATGTTTATTTGAGCTTCAGTGTAGTGCTGGGCGGTATGACCAAAAATTTATATCACGGTATT